TTAATTAGAAGAACGTTCAATGTTTCGCTTTTTCTTTTTTATAAAAGTTTTACAGAAAAGATGCATCGGTTTCTTAAATTATTGTTTCGCGAAGACGACTCGTAGATTTATCAGAGGCTGTTCGTGATTAGGTAAGAACAACAAGAGAATGCGAGGAAGTTAATTAGAAGAATGTTCAATGTTTTTGCTGAGATGTTTCGCTTTGTTTGTTATATAAAAGTTTCACAGAAAAGATGCATCGGTTTTCGAGTTCTGTGCGTTCCGCGAGATTTCGCTATTAAACGAGAAAAAAGTATTTTAAAGGAAGAGCTTTCGCATTGACAGGCTGACCAGAGTGGTAAGAGATTGATTGCGTGTTTCGTTTGATCGACATTAGTTCTTTTTAACACATTCAGGACGGCGTGATTCACCGATATAGGTTACCTTGCAATGAAATTTCGTTTCGCACGTGCCGATAACTTGCGACTTATTGGCGAGTTAGCGCGTTAGCAAAATTGAACGCGCGATATAATTTATCGCTGCCTCGTCCTACCACAGCGAAGAGAGCACAAAAAAAAAAGATTCACTCAACCCGGGGCAATCGTGTTGTAATCGTTGAGGCGTTTGGAATTAAACGAATACGGTCCACTGATGGCGATCCTATTCTAATTAAGGAACAACCTCGTCGGCAGCGAGATTGATTAAATTGCCGTTCCGTTGTAACCGATCTAGTATTAGAGTAGTTAAAAATGCGATAATAGATGGAACCGTTAATAACGTAAGAGACATAATCGAAGAAAGCGAAGAAGAAGAAGAACCCCGTAGGCACAGAATCTTCCACCGGTGATCATAAATTGTGTTCTATCGGGTCGTTCGGAAACTAATTTCCGAATGTTGTTCCGCGAGAAAACGAATAGAAAAATGATTTTTCAGAGTAAATATTATCGTACAGTAAATTCTGCCCGATCGACGCTCGCATTGTATAGCAATTTCTCCCTAATTCGCGCTCTCAGATCGCGCACAAAAATGGACAATTTGGGAAGAGGAGACACGATTATTCCGCTTGATCTTTGCGGCTCGTTTTCATAGTTGGCAAGGTTAAATTAATAACTATATAAAAACGAGCTGCGATGGTCAAATAATTTTTCTGCGAAATCCGAGCGCGAATTAGGGAGACAATGATTGTACACAAAAGTGGACATTTTTGGAAGAGGTGACACGATTATTTAAGCCTCGCGGCTCGTTTTTATAGTCACCGATCGTCGACGACTATAAAAACTGTAAACTATATAAATTATAAACAATTATAAACAATTCTACCCTCCCCAAATGTGTCTTTTCTGTGCACAATCTGATCGTCGAACAGTTTCCGAACAGTGCAGTAAAGCTTCGAAATCTCGTGCTCGCAGAAATCCTGTTTTCTCATCGGCGTTGCAACCGAATCGAGCGTTTCCTCGAGGTCCTCGCGGCTCGAAATTCGTTCCCGACAAAACGAGATTACTCTCCGAACAACCCGACGTTTCGTTGAACGACAAAAATCCGGCCCGCGATCGGCAAAGCAAACGGCGAACACGTGGCGCAACAATAAAAAAAAGCAATCCGTTTGCATTGGAACCGTAGCGAAAAATATCGACGACGTTCAACGTTCGATGAACCGACCTTGCTATCCTGAATGTGTTAACGTATATATATATATACACATACACATACACACACACACACACATCCGTATTATACGCGTAACAAAATGAAACGAGGAGAAATAAACGAATAACCGAGAAGGCTGTTGCGTAGGACGCGCGCGTGCGAGCAGATAACAACAGAAAAAGAGAGAAGAAGAAGAGGAAGAAGAAGAAAATAAATAGAAAAAGAAAGCGAGAGAGACACAGTAGCGAGATATAATTTTAATCATAAAAGACAGCCAGGGTCGTACATACATATCAACTCGCATTGTAATCGACGATGTAACGAGGAACCTATACATATCATGAAACGTGCTCTAAACATTATCCTAGGTATTTCTAGTCCGTAAGATAAAAAAAAGCAAAAGTAAAACAGAAAAACCGTGTTTTAAGTAACGAGAGAATAAATAAATAAATAAAAAAAATAAATAAAGAACACATTTAAAGAAAAACCATGTACATAATATACGTGCTATATTAAAATACGGTATAGCGTATACTCACCCTGTCGTGAAAGGGATCGATCGGAAGCCAACGGAATCGGAGGGGCACGATTATTTATTATAATAATTGTCGGTGTCCTCCTCTAATTTTCTCACGATCTCGTGTACGTTAAGAGAAGAGAGCAGCGACGAAGAACAAACAAACAAACAAAAATGACAAAATAAAGCTAAACACGGACAAACGAAAAATGAATTAAATAAAACGAAAGTGAAGCGAAACGGCGCGAGAAATGGTGTAGGAACCATAGGCGGCGGGCTGTCCGAACGCCGAACGTAAAAAAATAAAAGCAGATTCCCGTCGAGAACTTCTTGTCGCGAGGAGTTATCACCGAACGAAAATCCAGTGTTAAACAGGAACGACGACGACGACGACCACGACGACGACGACGACGACGACGACGACGACGACGACGACGACGACGACCACGCGTTCCCCGCGCGATTTACTCGCCTGCTTTAAAAAACTCGAACCTAATGTTGTTGTAACCTTCGTCCTATCTCGCGAGCCTGGGATGCCTACCTATTTCGTAGAGTATTACTATGTGTAAAGAACAAAAATAAAAACGTAAAAACAAAGAAGGAACCGACTTCAATACCCTAAGTAAGAGTATATCCATGTATGTATATGTACTACGAAAAGCGTTGCTGCTGTATTGTATCATACGACATTACAAACAAACAAAAAAAAAATACTGTACGTGTATAATTGAGAAACTGAACGCGATGTTGATTGTAAATGTTAAAAAAAAATAAACGGCGTGTAAAAACCAAGGCTTTACCGGCGGATCATTATTTTCGGGACCTATGACCTTACGACGCGCCGCCTCCGTGCGTTTTAGCGGAGGCGTTTACTTAAAAAAAAAAGGTATGTTAAAAAGCGTCGGGACAGGGCGTACAGAATTTGGTGAACGACAGCAGCCTAATCGATGCAAGTGTGTAACAAAGTAGACGTTAAAATTGTTTCTTTAAATTGTTTATTCGAGAGGACGCGATGTTAGACGAGGCAACGAATAATACCGAGAGAAGTGCAAATAAAAGTGACAATCGTGAATTTCGTATAGCTGACCTCAGAAGGAATGTACAGTCGGTGGACAAAGTATTCGTACACCTTTTAGAACGGAGTGATTTTTGTTTTATAACAGGACCGAGCGGTCTCAATTTTTTTTTTGGAACGTTAGAGGGATTAGTTTGCTAAAGACGATGGTAAAAAGATTGTCGAAAATTGCAGTCGGTTGACATGATAGAATAATCAAGTAAATAGAAAGTAGATATATCGTTCTGTGTAAAAATACAAAACCCTGAGATACCGAGTGGAGGGACGCGATAAAATGAAAGTATAATAATTCACGTAGCATGTTGCAACGAAGAGGAGGGAAATAAATACTAATCGATGATAGGAGGATGAGAAACGCGAGTTACATGTATGTGTAGTAGGAGGGGTGTTTCAAGATTTCATGCAGGGATCGAGAAGATAAATAGTACAGAAGGGGGGACTGATAATGTAGGTGGAAGCAGCGGAATCATTGCATTATATAAAGAACCCTAATGAAAGGGAGAGAATTGGAAAGAGAATAGGAGAATAGATGTGGGGATGCAAGAGAAAGAAATGCAGCTCAGATTGTGCACAGAGAAAGACAATTTTGGAAAAGGAGATACGATTATTCGACCCATTTTTATAGTTGTTGCAAATCGTATCATTTAAGAAAGAATTACGAGATAATATACTTAAAATCCTAATTTCATAATGTTCAAATTACGCAACGGTTAGGTCCATTAGATTATGAAATGCAATGTAACGTGATTATTTTGTACTCGAAGATTATGCTGCAGCATTTTAGGTATTACCTAACCCTGTATATTCATTTTGTCGTGCAAACGGAATGTTAAGTTTTATGGTTATATCAATCCCTCTACATTAGGCGATACCAAAATCGTTGTTATCCGAATTATATTTTCAGAAATTTAAGTTCAGTTTTCTTGTTTCCACATCTATGTACATATATACGTGTACATATTCTCATCTTGCAGTTTCTCACTTATATGCATTTATTTAAATAGTTATTTTTATTTTATCACTTTATATATAGGATGAATCCATTGGAAACAAAATTAATTACCATCTCATAGAAGATATTACTATTAGGAGAAGATGGTCAGAGAAGATAATCGTTACTATTTTTATAGAAGTTCACTGTGATATTGTCTCTCTGATCGGGGACGGGGCAGAGGGAGAGAAGGAAAAGGGAGAAGTATTTTCGACGGCAAATCGTTCGGATGTGAAATCAGCGAATAGGTCAGAATACACGATTTCCTGCTCGAGGGGGATATCGACGTAAGGTCCTCGTCAATATACGTTTTTTAGTTAGGCTTACAACAGAAATAGAAAAAGCTCTTACTTATTCATACCTTCCCGGTGTACGAGTTGGGAGAATCAATAAATCGACCGGCTGCCGACGTTGTCCAACTAACCTTACTCCCAGCCGCCACCGTCTTACTTATACACGACAATTCTAAATTAGTACCCGCGAAGAAGTTTCACATTGTATGTTTTGCGCATACCGTAACTGTCGAAAGACCCGTCACGCAATGCTCCCCCGAAGTCGCGCCGATTATTTTGTCTCCGACGTCGATCGGCGTTCACCCTATATCTTCGAGAAAAATGCGCGACAAAATACGCTGGGGTCGCGTGTTTCTCACGGTCGAATTACAACAAAAATAACCCGCTCGAAAATGAAACGGAAACGGAAGACGTGTGTACGCGCGCGAAGAGGGTGGAGGGTGGGTGTCAGGTTCGAGCGAGTTTCGCGTCTTCGACGCGGGTTTCGTTATCTCTTTCTCTTTTTTTTCCAGCGTAGCAGTTTTATTAGTACAAAAAGCATTTTTACAAAATAAATAAATTACAGGCTCTGAATGAGGAATGAACTCTTTTTCCATGCCAGCCCTCCTCTTTCGTCTCCGCGCTTTCGTGATCTCCTTTCAGCAGCCCTCTTCCGTGAAAATTTGTTCCCCTCGATGAATAGAACTTCCGACGGACGCGTTCCCGGGACCAGGTCGCGAAAAGATCGCTGCTCGTCGCTCCTCCTGTACTATATAATCCTCTTTCTTTCGTTTGTCTTTCCTCTGCCGGCCGTTCGCGGGAACGCGTCTCTGGTCAAACTCGTCCGGCGATCTTTTAAACTTTGAATTCGAATCGATGCTTGAATGATCCCAATTCCGCGAGAACGATCTTCGATTCTTCGTTCACCCTTCCTCCATCGGGTCCCGTCGACCCGCAGCAGCCGGTACCGTCGCCGACGGCACTGTAGTTCCGCGATCTCCAGCCCGCCAGGTTGTCCTTGCCCCAGGGTGAAAGAAGGTCGAAGGTCACCGCGCGCGATATTTTGTATTTAGTATTGGTAGCCCCCGTTGCTGGCGTAGCCTTGACCACCTCCACTACCTCCACCACCGGAGTAACCACCTCCGCCGCCTCCAGAGTAGCCACCGCCGCCTCCTCCAGAGTAGCCGCCTCCGCCGCCTCCAGAATAGCCACCTCCGCCGCTTCCAGAGTAGCCTCCATTACCTCCGCCCGAGTAACCTCCACTGCCACCGCCACCCGAGTAACCACCGCCGCCGGAGTATCCCCCGCCTCCGCCGCCGTTTCCACCTCCAGAGTAGCCACCTCCACCGGAATAGCCGCCGCCTCCGCCGGAATAGCCGCCGCCTCCGCCGCCAGAGTAGCCGCCGCCGCCGCCGGAATAGCCGCCGTTACCGCCGCCGCCTCCGGAATAACCGCCGGAGCTACGGTCGCAACAAACATCGTGAATTTCGCAGCATCTTCCGGATCGATAGATTATGAGACAGGTCCTCGATAGAATTATTCGGCTACGTTAAATATTTTACACTGTTTCCGGAACGCTTCTGTCGCGGGTTTTGAAGATCGTGTTAAGTGCTCGATAGATTCTTGCCGTTTTAGTCGGACGCTATAGTTCGGACAGCAAGGAGATTGTGCGAGTTCCGTGTACACATGGGCCTGTTCGAGGATCTTCGGAATATAACACTTTCGAATTAGAACGATTTATACACTAGGTGACCTGGATTGTCTCGCGATCGAATGAAGAGGTTCCCGGGGTGATTCGAAGTAACTTTATCCTTAGCGAAAATGCGATCCGCGACTTCGTTTACGAGTTATCGGCGAAAAATGGTGACCAATGAGAGCTCGGCGCAAGACGCGAGGCGGCCGAGCCATTCGGCGGAACTGGGAGCGGAGCTCCGCCTCGCATCGGCCGAGCTCGCCTCTCATTGGTCCGTGTTTTTCGCTAATAACTCGTAAACGAAGCCGCGGATCGCATTTTCGCCGAGGAAAAAGTTACTTGTATTGACCTCAGGAACCCTTTTCCGGATTGCGAGACGTTTTTGGGACACTCTGTAAATCAGCTGGGTGACAGAGAGATTATTTAATAGCACGAGTTTCGGGAATAATCGATAGTTATCGCGATTGAAATTGAAAGTACTATAACCGACGATTGCGAGCGTTGTAGCTCACGATTGGAACGCGTCGAAATTAATTATTGAAGCTATAGTAATTAATAATTGAAGGTATAGCAGTTAATAATAGATATCGAAATTAATGATCGGTGGTATATCAATTAATAATTGAAAGTATCGAAATTAATGATCGAAGGTACAGTAAATTAATAATTGAAAGTATTCGAGCATACCCTGTGTACACGTGTTTTTGTTTGTGTTCCTTTTGATTTGTAGCAATGAAGAAATATTGTGTTAAGTGCCCGAAAGATGCTTGCCACTCGACTTGTGGGATGCTTGACTAAGAGTGGCAAGTAACTAAAGGTGGATCAGTTTCATGATTCCCGTTTCACAGACGTTTCAATTTATCCGTCCTGTGCGATCCAAGTTTCTCGAGTACAATGGAACAGTACTCCATGTGTCTGAAAGTTTCGAAATTCGAATGCTCCCGGTGACACGACCAATTTAAAGGATGCGGTGCTGCAATATGCTTAGCAAAATTCTGCGGTAACTTATGGAACCTGGACGATTCGTCGACCGTGAACCACAATTACAAAGAAAAATAAACGATAGTTTCATTAAATACAACGTTCGCGCGAATACCTTCGTTTCAACTATAATAGAACCTCGATTATCCGCACCAGCCCGAGAGAGTCGACTATCCGAGTACTAATGAAACTTGCCTAATTAATTTTTCTGTTCGATCAAATTGTTGCGCATCGTTTTACATCGAATCGTTGCCCATGCTTGAAACGAATTTGAACAATTAACGAGTCCTTGTTCGTTAGCGACGCGAACGATCAAGGTTCCACCATAATTTCTATTTATAGTCAGAAAATAGCTTCGAGCCCAAAGAGTTAAAACTCGACGATCGGATATAATAATAAATCTGGCGATAATTGTTCGCACAGATTCCGCGCGATTTAACGAATATTTCGAGGAGCGAAATATTCTGCTATCGAAATTTCCAGTGGTTCCGAGAACGGGGTAGAAAGGACGTCGCGCGTGTCCCCGTAGAATCCGAGACAGGGGGGGGGGGTTCTCTTTCAGACACGTGGAGTTCCGGCGTGATTCGAAGAGCAACAAAAGTAAATAATATCGTGAATTTTACCCTCCGAAACTGCCACCACCGGTGCTAGGTGTACCGTAAGACGACGAGGGTCTCCCAAATCCTCCACCGCCTCCAGTAGGCGCCCCATAGCTAGTTGACACACCACCTCCACTGGGAGCTCCATACGACGAGGACGGTCTTCCGCCGCCGTTTCCACGGGATGGGGCACCGTAAGAACCGGACGGTGCCGAGTAACCGCCGTTTCCGCCGCCGGATGAAGGAGCCCCGTAGCTGCTGGACGGCCTTCCGCCCCCGTTTCCGCCTCCGAATCCAGGCGCACCGTAACTCGACGACGGTCTTCCGCCTCCCGAGGGAGCCCCATAGCTCGAGGACGGCCTTCCGCCGCCGCCGCCGCCACCGCCGCCTGGGGCACCGTAAGTAGAGGACGGTGCTCCTCCACCGCCACCACCGAATCCGGGCGCACCGTAGCTGGAGGATATTCCTCCCCCGTTACCTCCGCCGAATCCTGGGGCACCGTACGTGGACGACGGTCCTCCGCCGCCACCGCCTCCGCCATTGTAACCACCACCCCCGCCGCCGCTAGGTGCTCCGTAGGTCGACGACGGACGACCACCGCCGCCACCACCGCCGCCGGACGGGGCACCATAAGTGGAAGACGGACCACCGCCGCCGCCTCCGCCGAAGCTTCCTCCGCCTAAGTTTGGCGTTCCATAGCTGGTCGACGGAGGTAAGTAGCTGCCCGAAACTGGCGCTGGAAAATAAAGTGCTTGTTAAGCGAATTGTATTTTTACCGGAGGGGTTGGAAGTCGAGGGGTTGTTGGTCATCTGTGAAGTGTAACTCGTACTTTTAATTTGTAACTAATTTATAGCGATATTAATGTACCGAGGATGTCGAGAGAATTTGTTGATATTGTTGTTAATATTATGGTTATATTATATTTATATATATTATGTATATATTATATTATCCTATATTTATATTATTATTTATATTAATATACCGAGAATGTCGAGGGAATTTATTGATATTGTTGTTAATATTATGGTTATATTATATTTATATATATTATGTATATATTATATTATCCTATATTTATATTATTATTTATATTAATATACCGAGAATGTCGAGGGAATTTATTGATATTGTTGTTAATATTATGGTTATATTATATTTATATATATTATGTATATATTATATTATACTATATTTATATTATTATTTATATTAATATACCGTATATTATCAATATACCGAGGATGTCGAGAGAATTGATCAATACTATAGTTAATATTATGTTTGTATTATAATATTAAAATTAATATCAAAATGTAATACTATCGATATTAAAACGTAACGCTAGCTTTGCCGAGGCGGCCAAAAGACACCGAAGATTTTAATCCGAAATTAGTTTCTAAGTTTAATATCATTTCTCTTCGCTGGACTCTTCAACTTTTCCTGCAACGGTTATTGGACTGCGGATCGGAGAATGTATAAATTTATAAGGTCTAATTGCATTTCGTTTTTCGTTTAAAAATATTCATACTATAATATAATAGTCGAAGATATTTCAGTGAAAAATGTGTGTCAACTTTAGAAAATAGATAAGACGCAGCATAATATTAATATTAAACGTTAACATTTTCTACTTATGGACGACGTTGAATTATATCCTGCTACTTAAGACGACTATCTCGACCAGATTTAGCCGCTTAAGCTCGATCCTCGAGTTCTTAGACGTTATTGCAAATTAAGACGTTCGCATAATTTCGAGCGATCTCAAGATCGCGTTTGTTTCACACGTTACATTAGAATTTATTTTCTATGCTCTCGAGCATGCCGGATTAATTCCATCACGTGCAGGATATCGCGATATTTATCTAAACGCAGCGCCGCAAAGTGATTCGTTGCAACTAAGTTCAGCAAAGAAACGGTAAATCTTTGCGAACGTTCGTAACTTTTGTCGGCGAGCGTACATTAGAAAAAAAGACCGTGCTCCAGCAGTTCTATCCTCGCGTACTCGCGTACTCGCAGCTGCTTTTCCAGGAGCGAGAGAGACTCGAGCGTGATTAAGCCGCGTAATTATTCATACGAAAGTAGTTTATAACTTCGCGCCGCGTTCTCCCGATGGTTTCCGCTCGTTCCCGCCGAGACAGCTTTGAAATCACGGAAATCAGAGCCACGGGTCTATTGTCTCTAATCAAGTGCGCGACTGCCACGAGTCTTCTCCGGATTGTTCTCCGGTCTTTGCACTTTCTCAGGAAGCTGTTCCTAATTAAATATCCACGTCTCGCTATAATTTATCATTTTAAACTCGCGCATTTTACGTTCCATCGCACCTTGGATGCTGATTAATTCGAATGTACGTACGATTCTGCTTTCGCGCGTACCTTTTTTTTCCTTGAACGTGAAATCCGTTGTGCAAAAACAGGATTCGGTGTGCATTTATGCATTTATAGTTATACATTTATACATTTTAATATTAATACGTAAAGAAATCCTTTTCAGATCGAACGTTTCGATTATTATTTTTTGTGAACGCTGTTTTCAATTTATTATTATAATATTAATATTATTATTATAATTTAACGTCGTCGAATGTAATTTTTAGTGGCGTTCCGTGGATTCTCTGTACGATATTTAAAAAGAACTTTCGACAGAATCGCGGCCGCGCGTTCAATTTATTTGGAAAGATGCCCGGTGATGAAAGAATAGTACTCTAATTAACAGACTTTGCATAACACGGCCCGTATCACCGTGAAATCGCAACTAGATCGTAACCAATTTCCATCGAGAAACACAATTACAACGTGATTATGCGGTCGGTTCTTAAGAGAGAACGTGCGGAGTATCAAAATAGCAATTGCGGAGAACGTTTCGTCACCGCGCGGTCGTTATATCGAAAATATTATCGTGATTAGAATGCCACTCCGATGACGTTTTATAGTATTGTTCTTATGGTTGTATGACGTGTTTTCCACTTTCTTTTTCATCTTTGAATACGTCGAGGCGCTCGTTGCGCTCTGTTCCCGAGATGCTTTCCAATCTGTTCGGAAGCGGGCGGCGAGCTTTGTTGTTTCTTCGATTGAAAACCGCGTTCGAAGATTATTTTCTTGCTCCGTTTGACCCACATTTTTCATCGAGAAACAAGCGTATTTATAAATAAACACTGTTCGGAATTTCATTGGATCGACGAGGAATTATTTATCGAAAACTTCTTCGCGAAAGCGAAGATAACTGAAAGCATTGCGAAACTTTTCGTGGCTCAAATATTATAATCTATTTTTGTAATAAATTAGGATTGTTCGCTTGTAAATCATTATCGTTGCTTATCGAATCAATCGTTCCTTATTGGTAAAGAATTAGTCTTCCCGTTGCTTCGAAATTATGCCCGCCAATTTTTCTCATAAACGCATCGCGAATCCGCTGTCTTAATTGTCAGTTTTCATTTGCGAGCAGAACAGGCTTCCTCGACGATGTTGAAATATTAACGTTTATAGTGATTCTTCGTGAAAATGGCTGGCTGGGCACAGCTAATTACACATTGTTTACACTCGTCGGTCCCTACAATTTAAGCCCGGTTCCGTAAAAAAAAAGCGATCGTCAAGATTGTCGTGTCCCCCTACTTGTTAGCTCGTATCTCAAGGAACGATCTTCTCGCTTCGGGTTAGGAGACAATTGTCCAGCTATTGTCCCTTGAAACCGCTACTATGACGAGTAAGTTCGTTTTTCTTTTTTCAAACTGCTTTATTACTGTTTGTAGGAATTGAATTATATTAAAATTTAATTGTGTTCGACATTTAATTATGTTCAATTATGTTCGATAATTCCATTATATTCAATTATATTCGATAATTCTGTTATATTCAATTATATTCAACATTTAATTATATTCAATTATATTCAACAATCTAATTATATTCAATTATATTCAACAATCCAATTATATTCAATTATATTCAACAATCCGATTATATTCAATTATATTCGACAATCCAATTAGATTGAATTATATTCAACATTTCAATTAGATTCAATTCATATTATATTCAACCAATTATTCTGGAATATTCGAATTTTGGGAATCCGAATTAATCGGACTTAGATGGACAACTATGTTAAATTTCACCGCATAATTAATTACAATTAACGATTCCACTAGTACGAATTTTCCAAGACGCGCTTCGAAGTATCGTTTCATCGTCAAACGAACTTATCCAACGAATGTTCGAATTGGGTCATTTTTACTCATTTCCGAATCAACATGAAACGAGAGATAAAAAGACTGTTACGTACAAGAAAGGAATTATAACACGATAATCGTGCTTTTAATATTCCAACTGTATCGTCGACAGCTAGCTAGATCCGCGTTCTTTTATTTATTATCCCAGATTTCGTTTCGAGCCCCGTTGAAACCGACAGAGGCGATTATATATTTCGATCGTGTCCTGATTTTTCAATTTCGTGTCTAATTTTTATTCACCGCCGGATGTCCGTCGCCAAAGAGAAACTTATCGCGTGGGGATCGCGTGAAATGTTTATCCTTTGCCTGGTTTTAATCCGTGAGAGTGCCGGGCAATAGTTCCATCACGTCTCGCTAACCATCGCATTATCGCGAAACATCGGGACCACGTATTACCCCGAATTGCTTATCTCGACTTTCTACGTTTTGTTTTAGTAGCTTTTTTTTCTCGAGATCGAGTACGCTGTCGCGGGTGCTCTCGCTTTGGAAATGCAAACCGATCGGCGACGTTAATTTAATTTGCTACGACTGTGCCAAGCTGAAACTGTGTAATTATAAATACAAAAATAATAGAAGATACTTTCCTTTTTTTATTTTTAATAGGCTTCTCGAAAATCGACGCATCGCGGCGGTCCAAAAAATTGAAACTCGATATTTCAATTCCGAAATATTCGTTCGATTGGCAATGAAAAATTCGTAAAAAATGTATCGCAAATACAGCAATTATTGCAAGATGTTCGATGACTTTTACTCCGCTGAAAGCGCAGTCGACGCGAATTAAAGAGACGCTCGGTTCTTTTTGTCAGCGATCCGTCACTATCTTTAGACGTGATTATTCGGTAAACCGAAGAAGGTTAAAGACTTCGTGTTTACGGCGTTCAGCCGAACGAATACTTATTGTTTTGCCGGCAAAAAGAACTTCTTATTGGAGCCGCGTATTACCCCGAATTATCTAGCCAAGCTTTCTACTGTGTTTTGCGGAGCTTTCGACTTTCCACGGATTTCGACCTTGTCTCGAGAGAGGAGTCAGATATCCGTTTATGTGCCGGTTATTATTCCGTCATTTTACCGTCATTAGTTGTCGCTCGCACGCGCGTTCGCCGTACGTGCGAATGATGTTTGCAACGCAATCTGAATATACTTCGCAACTTTAATTTAACCGAATAATTACGGGAAGCTGTATTCCATGTGTTCGCGATGGATTTCCCTCGGAGCGCGCGGATTCGAAATTACTCCGCCGCACGAGCTCCGGCAATAAATAAATCGCGCACTTCACGTTTCCTGGTTAACATTCAAATTTCCTGTTTCTCCTGGAAAAAGGTTATCGCTTTTCGAAAACTGATTTCACGATAGAGAAAGTATCAAAATCGCATAATATTCGCAATTGTTTCGCGGTTTTTCGTTGGACGGTGATACCAATTTGTCAGATTTTTGTGTTATTGACATTTTAGAATTATTATTACTATATTTAGAAAAATAACGCCACGGTTCTACGGTTATATTTTATTATTAAGCAGGAAAGAAGGCGCGAGGAAAGATTGGAAGATATAATAAACAATTTAAGGAAAATGTGATGATTTTTGTATTACCAACATTTTAGAATAATTATTACTATATTTGGAAAAATAGCGTCCCGGTTCTACGGTTATATTTTATTATGAAGGAGGAAAGAACGCGCGAGGAAAAATTGGAAGATATAAACAGTTTAAGGAAAATGTGATGATTTTTGTATTACCAACATTTTAGAATAATTATTACTGTATTTAGAAAAATAGCGTCCCGGTTCTACGGTTATATTTTATTATGAAGGAGGAAAGAACGCGCGAGGAAAAATTGGAAGATATAAACAATTCAAGGAAAACGTGATATTTCCGTTGCAAAGAGCTTCTTTCGAGCTCCATTTTCTCCAGTTTCCGCCCGCCCAAAACGATTTCTAAAAATCCTTCCCCTTCTCTAATTTTAATTGCCGCTTCGCGCGCGGACTCACGTGCTCGACGCGATACAGGAAGAACGCGAACATCTTCGAACGAAGCGCGGTGTCCGATTAAATCGTACCACGGTCGCGGCCGTATCGCGGAAAGTGAGAAATAGAGAAAGTAAAACGATAGTACTTTCTTCGGCAAAAAGAAACAAGAAGAAAAGACTCGCGGAGAGAATTAATATTAATTGATCTCGCAAACAGAAACGCGCAAAAAAGTGTACGCGCGGATCTTTTTACGATCTCTCGTCGCGACCGATTACACCGTGATCGATTAAACCGTCGCGGCGTGTGTGTAGAACGATAAATTATCCCATGAAATCAATTTCTTACCCTCAGCCTGGATGTTCTGGAGGAGCAGGGCCGTAGCGAGTACGGTCGCTGCCAAAGAGGCCCAGCTGCTGGCGGGCCTCATGGCTGACGATCGTGGATGTATCAAAGATAGAGCTGGACGACAATTCACATGCACGAACTGTCCTTTTTTTATTTGTTTTTTAATCACCGGCGGACGTTTTCTCGGTCGGTTCACGTGTCTCCGATAGGGATCGATAAAGCGACGAGAAACAAACCAGAGATTCGGATCGAGTCGCGGAGGCCACGTAGCCTACTCGACGCATCCGTAAGATTTCGTCTAACATGGTTCAAACATCGGAGATCTGGCTTATATAGTTGGCCGTCTTTCGGAGAAAGTCTTCGCGGGAGTACAAGAGGATGCTACCAGGTAGGACATCTTGGTGAACGTGGGGTAAACGGCGGGAGGGGAGCGATCGAGGAGGGGAGCACGGATCGCGGGAGATCGCTGTGTTCAGGAAAATTTAATCTAATAAAGTGTTGATAATTCTGCTTCAGTTTGGTTCACTCCGTTCATGATCACGGGACGACCGAAAAATCCTTTCTCGGTGAAATCGGTCAACGTAGAGATTTGACGCATTCGAATCGCAACGCGGATTCGATGCGCTTACGAGAAAATTAAATGGTCGCCGTTGAAAACAGCGGAAAGAATCGAAGAATTTAGAAATATTAACGCTTCGTTTTTGATCCGTTTAAATAATTAAGGAAAAAGCGAGCTTGCTGCACCGTTTCTATTTCGTGCAATCTATATGGACAATTCTCTATTTTGCATAAAAATCCGCATTTTATATTCAGTTCCTGGAACAAATGTCTCGCATAAATCCTCCAGATAATAATGAAATTTCAATTAATTTGCTTCTTTTGCGTTACGCGGCTAACGATTCTAAATCGAGTATGGCACAAAAATGAAATTTTAATTTCGAATTGATCGGCTTCGAATCGACGGGCTTACAGCTAACAATTGGAAGCTAAATTGAGAACAATCTTAGTCGAACGCGAGAGTTTTAACGGCTAATAATTGCAGCTAAAAAGTTGACTGGGCGATTACGCTCGAATAATAAAATCCGCTCGGACGAACAAAGCCGTCGACGTCGTTGAGAGTCGCAATCGAATATAATTAATGAACCGATCGATTAATATCATTCAGCCTCTCTCGGCCGGCATTAAGGGTAGACGTTCGTTCGGTCGCGAGCGTGTACCATCGACGTTTCTTTTCGACGTCTCGGAGACCCGTCTCTCCTTTGTCTTTTCATTGTCATCCTGCTGTCCCTTTTTCGCATTTTTTCCCCACCTCGAGAGCGTCACGAACTTAACGTTCTTGTTATGATAAATTGCGGCAGACGCGGCCTTGATGTCATAGCTGATGGAAGAGCGATCGAGGAGGAGGAGGATGATGATGATAGTAACAATCACCCGGAGGGCTTGCATATCCACGGCGTACGAGTTATTCGACGTTTCGTCATTTTAGAAAATATCTATGTAGATTATTTGTTCGCGCCCTTTCGCAATCCCGTTGAACAATGAACTTTTCAAAGCGTGCCCTTTTACTTTGACAACCGTGGTCGGCGCGTTGCTTTTTCTACGACGAAACGTTCGTACATTGTACGAACAAGAAAATCTTCGCCCGAGAAAAGATTTCGATGAGAATTCCACGGATTTTTTTTCCGGCGTTCTGTTTCGGCGAACAAATTCTGTGTTCCTGATAAAAAATTACGAAACTTACTGTTCACGTTGTCGCTGAGAAACTGGTTCAGCTTAGAAATTTGCAGGCGATTATATTCAATATAATTCATTTGTAATAGAAAATGTTCGTTATATTATATTATATTATAGATTACTATATTATATTATATTATATATTATTATGTTATATTATAGATTACTATATTATATTATATATTATTATGTTATAATATTATAGATTACTTTATTATTATATTATATTATAGATTACTATATTATATTATATATTATTATATTATTTATAGATTACTATATTATATTATATTCACTAATTTTCAGTATACCGTACCAATTGAATACAATTCAGTTAACACTCATATTTTGCAAAACGCGAGCAAAGGAATATCAAAAAGCATAAATAACACACTGCCGGTTATTCGTCAGCGATATTATGCATTACGTAATAACGGAACCAGCGTGTAATTTCAGGGCGTGATCCAGGGTTTGTAATTTCAATTTGATATTTAAAGATGCAATTAAATATTTTAATGGACGACGAATCGTTGAAGCTCTCTCTCTCTCTCTCTCTCTCTCTCTCTCTCTCGTTGGAACGAAATCGCCCAGTTCGTTAGCGAAGCAATTAAGTTCGAACAGTTGCAATTTCATGTTAATTGAACCAGTTTCGTTTTCTTTCCCGTTAGAATACAAAGATATCACCGTCAATCGCGGAATTTCAATTTTATTTCAACGTGTTTGCAAATTTTTCAACGAACGTCGAAAGTTCAATGTCGTCGAGGATTCGGCGAACGGTCACGTTTCAAGCTTTCAAGTCTTGTGTGTGAACGTGAATTTCATTCGTAGCCAAAATTTTCAGCAGCCATAGAACTTGCGCTCTGGATGTAGCTGTATTAAAAGTTTGTTCGCGTTGACCGATCAAAGAAGACAGCGCTCGCATTCGTAATCGATTTTGTTCTCTCTTTGAAATTCATTTAATACGACCGGGTGTTATATAAGATTATATTTCGGTTGTTTCGAACAGCCTTGCACGAATAAGAGACACGCACGCGACAGAACGATAGCCGAACTTTAATTTAATAAAAAAAAGCTTTGATTTTTATGACGAATTTTTAGCGCGATTTAAATGAACGGTTCTAACTCGAGACTTATTTTTAGCGTATTTTAGCATATAAGTATAGCTATCATTTATGGTAACCGTGTAATTATTCAGCAAATAATATATAATAATATTAATATATTAATAATAATATATTAATAGTAATAAATATATTAATAATATAATATTATACAATAATATTTTGCAATAAAATTATGTATTTTGTTCTTATTAAGTGCAAGAATCTTATAACTCGGGAGATTAGTATAGTATGCTGTAAAAGAAATTTAGAAATCTAATAATAAAAAATTTTAGTGTATTTTAACTTGAAAAATAAACTATACGATAAACTGAACAATAAAATGAAGCATTGATTAATGTAGCATTTACATTAGATCATTTTCGCAGATAAATATTGCACGTTACTCCTTGATATTATTACCTTTAAGATAAGATTATTTTCTACATTAATTAGCTTCTCATTCAATTTTTTCTTTAGTTCCAGCAGTGAAATAAAAATTTTCGACAAATTAAATGAAAAATTCAGACTAAAAATTAAGCCGATCAAATTTAATATCTACTCTATATCTATTTCCGACATTTAGCGAACGTAGTCCAATTGGTTTGTCAACAATTCGTTTGTTAATACAAACTGTCGCGTCGCCAGCAGTCGACAGCGTGTAACGCCGTATCGATTGACTTACCAAAATGGTGGCTGCACTTCTAAAAATAGCATCGCCAGAAATTCTGTCGCTTCCCTTTTTTACATGACAAAATCAAAGCGATCTCTCCTTGTCTCGTCTTTTTTTTTATAAGGTCGACGCATACGAGACGTCGCGTTTCTATTACGCGCAAGTGCTCGTCTCCCCTCGCTTTTACGCTCTCTCGTCGCGTAACATCGCCGGCATTATATTTTTTTTGGCGAAAAGAATTTTCCGAAAATTCTGTGCTTTTTCGCCGAGTTTCTTCGTTCATCGGAAAGATCAGCGCCTTCCTCGAAACGGCCTTTCCACGTTGAAAATCTCTTTTAGGGAATAGCGTGTCGCGGCAAATGGGTCGTATTCTGATTAAATAAACACACCGCAAAAAAGAGATACGAACTTTTTACCGCCGCGCCTTTGAAAATCTCTCATCGCGCGAATCTAATACATTTTGCTTCGGTCGCTGGACAAAGCGGCAAAAAGAAGCTTGGAAGAAAAAAAGAAAAGAAAGACAAGAAAAACGCGATAGAATATTTTACACACGGTTCTCATCAACACATTCGAATCTGGGCCAGCTATCCATATTACCGCAACGTTGTCATACCGGGTGCATCTCGACACCGGTGGCAGCTTGGTATTGGCCGCGTTATTGCTACACGGGGCAATAATAAATCGTCGATTTAGCAACGTTATTTCAGCAATCGGTGAGAGTGTGCTAGGCATTGGGATGGATTTCGTGGTATATATTGATACGGGACGATGAAAAAAAATAAAATCCCGGGGAACGATCCGCGGCAGATACACACAGAAAATCCGATGTTTTATCTAACATCGGGATCGAATCGTTGAATGGAACCGAACACAGCGAGCCACATTCCCACGTTTCTGCCGGAATCGTGGAAAATCGTCTCTTCCATACGAAAACTCGAGATTCTTGTTAATTATAAATGTGTTAGGATCATAGTGGCCTAAGTTGTATTTACGAGAATCTTCGATGTCTTAAAATGTGATCGGCGCGTGCCAAAATGTTCAGAAGATCAGTGAAATAAATTATATATATTATAACATATATTATAAATAATAATCTCTCTTTAAAATAGGATGCGAATTTATTTGTTCGAAATGAATCTCAAAACGATTTGAAAACTTGCTTTATTCATTTTTTGTTTTTCCTTAAATTGATTACCTTGTTTTATAATATTGATGCTATTTAATTATTTTCATTTACTTTAGATTGATGTTATAAATCGAATGATCTATTTATCGAATACAGTGTACTTATGTTATTTCATAGATTGGCTGACTTATTGTTTATTATACTTATAGTATTATAGTTATTGTACTTGTACTTATTATACTTATAGTATTATAGTTATTGTACTTATACTTATTATACTTATAGTACTTATACTTATTATACTTATAGTATTATACTTATAGTATTATAGTTATCGTATTTATACTTATTATATTTATTGTATTATCCTTATTGTATTTATTACATTTATACTTAATATATTTATTGTACATAATTTATTATACTTATTATATTTATTATATTATCCTTATTGTATTTATTGCATTTATACTTATTGTATTTATTGCACATACCATATTATACTT